TTTTAAAATTTTTAAATTTAATTTTGATTTTTTATTAATTTTTAATTAAATTTAATAAATTTTAATAAATAAAATTATTCAAATTTTATCAATTTTTAGCTCTTATCTAACTTTTGTTATAGTAATTGAAAAATTATAAAATTTTTTTTCCAATCTAGATTTATTTAGTACTATTTATAATAAAAGTTTTAAATTTATAGCTTTTTAATTTAAAAAGTTATGAGAGGAGGGATACTTATGACTGTGACTATATATTCTTAGAACTACTGCCACCTCAGAGACTGCTCCTGAGCCCACATATGTTTCTGAAACCACTACCATCTCAGAGACTACACCTGAGCTCACAAACATCTCTGAAATTATTGCTGTCTTAGAAACTGCATCTGAGTTTTCAAAAATTTTCAAAATCACTGTTACTACAGAGACTGCCTCTAAGCCCTCAAATGCCTATGGAACTACTGCTTTTGATGTCATGATTGCTTCTAAAATCACCACTCTTAATATTATAACCAGTGAAGCTTCTATAAAAAAATGCATTTTACAAATACTTGAAACTCATTAGTCTATAAATGCTTTATTTAAAAAATATTGCAAAAAATTATGCCATTAGAGTATATATAAGAAAAAAACAGTAAATAACATGATTAAGCCTAAAACTAAAATTACTATTGCATTTAACTATGATATGAATCAACAAACTCACAAAAGGAAATTACAGTTAACTTTTTCTAAACAAGGTATTTTCAAATCACTTAAGTTCAATAATCATGCTGTAGTGGTTGAAGTAAATAGTAAACACATTCAGTTCCTATTATATAGATTTGAGTTGTAAAAAAAAATTTATAATTTGTTAAATTTTTTTTTTTTTTAGATTTTTTTTTTTGTTAAATTTTTTTTTTTGTTAAATTTTTTTTTTTGTTAAATTTTTTTTTTTGTTAGATTTTTTTTTTGTTAGAATTTTTTTTTTGTTAGATTATTTTTTTTTGTTAGATTTTTTTTTTTGATTGATTTTTTTTTTTGAATTTTAAGGTTAAAATTGTGCATATTTTAAGCTAAATGGCATGTTGATTTAGGATTAAATGCAAAGCATTTATGATTATATTGTTATGTTTTGTTTGTGCAATTTTGAAAAATAACAAGATGAATGTTTTGTTTTGAATTATTTTGTTGTAACATGATTATAAAATCTTGTACATATGTAATCAAATCTGTGCTACAAAGTATCATTATTTATTATATTATATGAGATTGAGATTTTTTAAAAGCTGATATAGATCATATGATTGATCTATTATGTAATTAATCTATCATATGATTCCAAGAAACATCTGATTTTTGATATTATCACTCACAGTTATTGTTTAATTTAAGTAGTCCATCTAAAGGTTCTACACTAGCTGTTATATTTGAAACCTACTTGTAAGTTTCTATTTAAACATTCTAGTTCTCATATCTATCTATTTATTTCTGTCTACTAATGACTCTAACTAATATTAATAAAAATATGCTATGATCATAAGTCTTTAAACCAGTTCACTTATATAAAGAATTATTAATCTTGTACTAAATCTTTTAAAATCTTTTGTATCTTATTCTTATAGTAACTCAGTATTGCTATAATCAAGACTAATACTTGCAATTAGAGTATATTATTAAACTGCTATGCTTTTGTAGAGTTCTTTTCAATCTCAGTACTGATTTTACAATATATTCTTATTACTTCAGTATTCAATTTAAGTTCTGTCAAGCTCTTAGACCAAATAGTCCAAAAATATAGATTGTAATTATATCTTTGATTTATATATTCTTTGATATATAACTTTTTTTTTTAGAATATATTCTAATAATCTGGTTGGTTCCATTCAGTCTTTTTCTAAAGACTGACTCTTTGCTTGCTTCATAAGTTCTAGCTCTGTTTTATAGGTTTAAATTTTACAATAGTATTATTAAAAGTTTAGATTATTTCTCTATTCAGGACTTCCAAGTGAGCTTCTGTCTTCCTATCTAATTTCTGTAATTTATATAGTCTAAGAACTTATTATAAGTTCACACTGCCTGGTGCCAGTTTGTGTTTCTTTGTACAAAGTTGTACAAATGCCTAGACCTTTTAGTCATACTGATATAATATGAATAATAAATATCTAATCTCAACTAATCACAGAAAACAGTTAATTATAATACAGAAAGTATTACAAATTTTTTACTGTTATTAGAATTTAAACCCTAAATCTGCCACTTGAAGGTTAACAACCTGTTTATTTCACTAAGTCACTATACTTCTTATAACATTTTTACAAAAAATAAGATAACTATATTATTATATAAAGTAAATATTCTTTTATATAATTTAATTTTTAAAGTAGAAATTAACTAATTTTCATTTTAGGTAATAATCATCTATAATTATTATTATAATTCTGTATAACATAACTATACAAAATAAACAAAAAAACAAAATAAAAAATATTTTTTTTGATTTTAGAATTAGAGCCTAAAGCTTATATTAAATTAGAGTTTAACAAGGTCTATAGTAAAATTTTACAAGAAATTTTTTTATTTAGAGCTTCAAAAGTAGTTTTATAAGCAAAATTTTAAGATAATTTTATTACAAATACTGATAACCTGTAATATAAATTAGCAAACTTCTTTAAAATATTAAATTATATAATAAAATTTTTATTAATACCTACTTTTTTAAATATTATAAATGATTTAATGTAATCTAAATTAAATTTTATAAATTTTATCATTAGTTCTTGTTCCAAAATCATTAAAAAAAATTATGTAATTGGCTAACTTATGTTAATCAAACAGATTATACCAATAATAAATTGTTATTATTGTACTAAATTTTAAATATAGTTTTCTTAAAATAGAAAAAAGTTTATAAGTTATATTTTTGTTTATCAGTCCTTATATGTATATAGAAAATTTTTTTTAAAAAAAGTAATATCTTAAAATTTTATCAAAAAAATTGTTTATCTTAAGTAGTAATAAGACCCAAATATAATAGTTTCATCATATGCTGTATCTCAAATTGGCAAAATTAGGTTGGGACTTTGCTATAATTATGTTATAATTTTGGCATATGTTATATCCCAAATTGCAAACCTAGTTTGAGACTTTGTCATAACTAAGTTATAGTATCAGCATATGTTATATTCATTAACTAGTTTGGAACTCTGCCATAATGAAGTTTTAAATTATAGTATATATACTTATATTGCTAAATTAATATCAATATTTTAGTGTACAAGAAGTTCTAAGTCAGAATATATATGTTATGCATTCATGCCAAATTAAATAGGCTATCTATATATATATTCTTTAAATGCAATATTTTTAAAACAATCTATAACTTTAGTTCAAATATATACAATATTCTAATAAATGCAATGTATTAATTGTATTAATGAATCAAAAATTATAGAAGATTAAAATATTCTTTTTTTTTTGTTTCTATTTTTTATTACTAATTAAATATCTGTATACTTATAAAAAAATCATAATTTTAACAAATTTCATTGTAAAAATTTGAAGCATATTAGAAATATGTTTATTAAATTATTGTTGCAATTAGAATATTATTTCTTCTTGATTCAACTATATTTAAGTAATGCTAAAAGAAAACTAGATATCAGCTTTTAAATTTATAATTACTAAACTCAATTCTTTAAAAAAATTTGAAAAATCGAGTCTGGTAGTTATAAATTTAAAGCTGAAGTTCAGTTTGTCTTTAGTGTTGCTTATATAAATTATCAATTTCAGGTTGGCACAAATTTAACTATACATATCTTAAAAAGTAGTAATTAAATTAAACAAGTTTAATATTATAACAATAACCTTCCTTAACAAAGCTTATTGAAGTTAGTAAATTCTGTAACTTTTATAAAAAACTTAATAAAATAAATTCTTGAAAAACAAAAAACATACAAACTTGCTAAATTTCTGATAAAATAGTTATACAAAGATTTCTTTAGAAAAAGTGATATGTTTGAAAATACTTATTCTAATATAATTAGTAAAATTAAATCAATTAGTTTTTTTAAAAAAATATTTATATATATAGTAAATTTCATTACTTAGAATATTGTTTAACTTAATAGTGATAGCTTAATTAATGCAATATGTTTAAAGTATATATAAGTAATTTGCAATAATGAAAAGTATGTATATATATTCTTGAAATAATATTTTACATATTTGTATATATATATACATATCTAATATGTATATATAGTATATATGTTGTTAACCTGTAGTTTTTCCTTTAACTACAGTGATATCAGAAGCTGCTCAACTATAGTATGACGACTATAAC